TTTTTTTTTTTTTTTTTTTTTTTTTTTTGGATGCCATCTGCGAGGCATGGGACACAGAGGAAAGGTTGGAGCAGTGTCTTATGCCTTGACATCAGAGCATTAAATGGGCAGCCTCCCATAGCTTTCCATCCACTTTTAATGCATTAAAGCATGGTGGGTGGACTACCCGAGGCGGGTGGGTGGGCCCTGGAGATGACCCCCATCATGTAGTAACAAATTCTTATTACACTCAAATTATTGTTTATCATGTCCTGGTAAATGCAGTATAACTTGTTTTAGCACAACCAAATAAAACTGATATCAGTAATGTAGTCCAGAAAATTAAAAAAATGATGCAAAGCATTGTTGTGTGTTGCAAATAATGTAGAACAAAACCACACACAAAGCTATTCAAAAGACTACAGAAACTTCTGACTCCATAGTATTTAGAATGAAATCCATATCTCATCAGTTTAACTAGACTATAACATCTCCACATATGTATGCAAGTAGCTTCCAGTCTTTTTAGTTAAAGCTTTTCTTTTGATGGATCTGTATGAACCCATGTCCTAGTATAGCTAACATCTTGCTTGTTTTGTTTCCACTCAATTTCTGCCTGTTTTTCTCCCAACATGTTTTCCTTTCTAGTATTCATTTTTATTTATTCCTCCTTGGATTTTAAAGCTAGATGTGCACTTAATCCTATTCTATTTGAAAGTGTTTTTGTTTAATCACTGATCAAACTTAAGTATTATTTTATAGTGATAAATGTAGCAGTTAGCCTGTAGCTGACTGATACAGCCACAGCGTGGCAGGAGTGTTCTTTAATTGTAGTTATGACCCACTACATCTTAATGTTGACAAAATGGAAAACCTTTAACATTTTGGATTATGCTCCAGGGGTTTGTGATGCTACTTGGTCAGAAAAGGAAGATGCAGACCCAAAGGGAGAGAAAATACTAAGAACTTATAAAAGGAAAAGGTAGATTCAGGTCAACAAAAGAGTTGCTGGAGAGTTGGATAATAGCCACGTCCTGAAAAACATTTCTGCATAAGGAGAGGGAATAAGTTTCTTCAAAGAACTAGAGAGAAACTCCAGTCTTCCACTTCTAAATTAATTAGAGATTAATTAACCTGAGCTAAATTTTTTAAAGTTGTTTTCCATCTCTTTTCTTAGTTTGCACAGCTCTAGCCCAATCCAATCTAGGTGATACCAATATATAAATGTTTACTGCTAACTGTAACTCAGTGCTTTTTCATGTCTTATGTGAAATGGATCTATTGGATTCATGCCAGCTCTTAGAAGACAAGTGCCTGGATTAGGGGAAAAAATCAAATGGGTAGCAGTGTTTGTAGAGGACAAGGAAATAGAACAAGTATTTCACTTGGTAGTAGTTAGTACTTGCCCCACCGATGTTGAAACAAAGCTCACAGTGCCATCGGGGTTAAAGAGGAGACTTCAGCCTGCCTATGATTAGTAGTATTTGTAGAGCACCACCAGCAGTGTGTCAGCTCACTGCACCTTAGCCATTTTTGGCAGAATAAACTTATATCATTGTGTTAAGGGAGGGCATTTCATGAATAAGGGCCACAGAAGAAAACAGAAAGAACTTCCAATGGGATCAATCAAGAGGCAGCTGATGGCATCATTGGAGGAAGGTGTGATGTAGGAACCCATCAGCAAATTTACAGAGGCTTGACCTGCTTCTGTCCAGAATCAGTCAAATGGACCTTGATATACTTGATTTGACTTTTCTTTGAAAAAAAAATAGGAGGAAAGCAACAAAACACTGTTTAAGGCAGTGGTTCTTAAGGTTTTTAGCCTTGGGGTACCTCTCCATAATCTTTTGGAAT